AGAGTAATGCTCCTTCGAAAATGTTTGGAAATGGAAAAAAAAAAAAATCATCTTTTTTGTTTTAACATGGTTTCTTTAGGAGGACAAACATGACACAAACATTCTTAATTTTTTCCAATTCTGTAAAAATGTGTGAGAGAAAAAGTGGTCCTGATCCAGACTCCAGATCCAGTTTTTTTTATGAAAGTCCGATCCCGCACGAGCGTTAGCGTTAGCATTAGCATCTCCTAACCTACAGGTCTGTGTCCTAACCATTAAGTTGTTATCAGAGTAAAACTTTGAAAACTGTTCACAGATGGTGACTACATACAGAAAACATTTTTTTTTTCTGTTTTAATATGGTTTCTGTAGGAGGACAAACATCAAACAAACATTCTTAATTTTTTCCAATTCTGTGAAAATGTGTCCCTCCCAGTTGGGAGTGAGAGAAAAAGTGCAATTGCTTTAGTTCTGGAGAAATTAGAGAAGCGCAAAAGTAGATTTAAGAAGTGGATTGCATCTCCAAACGACTGCTTAAAGTTTTGTTGGAGATGATAAAGCGTGGAAAACTGTTCACAGATGGTGACTACATGAAACAGTCATTCATCAACATATCAGAAGTTCTAGGCTAGTCCTGACCCAGACTCCAGATCCAGTTTTTTTTTTTAAAAGTCCAATCCCACGTTAGCATTAGCATCTCTAACCCACAGGTCTGTGTCCTAACCATTAAGTTGTTATCAGAGTAAATCCCTGTTCAACATGAGTCTGACAACTAAGTAAGTGGATAAATAACTTTAAACTTTAATACATGCTCTGATAGGCCGGGATCGGATCGGAAGAGAAAAAAGCTGGATCGGGACGTCCCTATGAATCAGAACATAGTCACCATACGTAAAAACAAAAAACAAAAATGAGATAATACAAAAAATCAAAAACAAGCATCTCTCTGCTAAGACAAAAAGAAAAGGGCCATTAAAAAGTCACAGATCAGCAAATTAAAGACATTAATTCAGCCCCAGCATCCTCAGCTGCCTGTGATGAGTCATGTGATCGATATTGATCAGACTTTTATGCTTGTATGTGAACTCTGAAATGATCACGATCACATTTAATCATAGAGGCTCATCATGTATTTGTAGCCAAGTTAGTCATTTTGATATTAGGCTGATATAGCTAACATAGACACACACAGCATGTGTTGCCTTCATTATAAGGCTTTTAACCCTTTAAAGCCTGATCCAAGAATAAAACAAAA